ATCACAGTGTGAACCAGCAATGAGATGCTCTAACTAATGAAAAAGGATTTTTGATGCTTTGCAAAAAATTTGGTTCTCGGACATTGTAAATATACTCTCTCTGCTCTTCAGATCCTTTTATGAAAGCATATTCAGTTCTGTGAACTGCATTTTAAAGGAGTCATTGGTATATGCACAAAAGAAGTTTAAGAAGGAAGAAGGAATTCGTATTTACTGAGCAAGGAACTCCCTGTGTGAGGGCATTGTATTAAAGGTGGTGTGTGTGGGTGTTAATTCTTCATGCTGTAAAGAGGTTATTGCTATGCCTATTTTAGATGAAGCAGTAAAGGGTTATAACAGTTCAGTAGCTTGCCTAAATCCAACAGCTGGCAGTAGCAAAGCTAAGATTTGAACCTGGATCTTTCTCTTCCCAAACTCATGTTCTTTCCATAGTACAGATATGTCAGAGTAATAACTAATCTGGAAAATGGGCTAGTTGAAAAATTGTAAAGGAAAAAGAAGCATTCGTCTTTTCAAAATAAAGGGAGTAAGTAATGATAAACATGGCTGTTTCCAAATAGTCAAATCATTGCTGTGTATTTGGAAGAAGCCTTAGCTTTATTCTTTAAGGCCATAAAGGATAGAACTAGGACAGTAGTGTGAGAGTAGTAAGAGCACTTACCATTTATTAACCATTTGCCGTCAGCTAATCCCTCTTTTAAATCCCATTTCACAGGTAAAGAACAAAATAATGACTAGGTTGTCCCAGCACATAAGTGGCATACCCTGAGCTGAAATCAGGGTCTGTCCCAGCCCAGGGCTAGTGTTTCTAACCATTTTGTTTCCCTCCATTCCTTTGGGTAGATTTTTAATCAACGTTAGAAAAACTTTCCAAGCAATTAGAATTTTCCAAAAAGGAATGGATTCTCCCAGGGAGTGAATTGCCTATCCCTGATAAATTCTGACCTACAGGGATGCAGGGTTCCAGGTCTGGTGTCCTCATAGATCTCTTTCCACCCTAAACTCTATTTTCTTTCTATGATGCTTTAAGAAGTAAGTTGACCTGTAGATTAATAGTCTGGGATAGAAGATATTAGTGCTGAGCCTGGTGGTTCTTTATCACTTTGTCAACCTGAAATATGAAGATAAATACATATCCAATTTCTCCAAGATATTGCTTACATTTCATTCCCTTTGAAAGTTTAGTAAGTTTATGGATTGAAGAATCTACAGAAGTTTATTGCTATGCCCTTAAAGCATAACAGTTCCATTAGTAAATGAAAATTATAATTCTATGCATATTTTTAAATAAAAGCAAGAAATCTTAAGAAATTTGAAGAGAGAACAAAGCCTTACAAAACCTTAGGAATCATTATTAACTTGTGTGAACTACTGTGATACCCTATCCTTGATAATTAAGGTGAAAGTCAAGAAGATTGACTGCGACATTTTTTGGAAGCAAGATCAGAACCACACTCGTTTTAAGGATAAAGACGAAGAGGGAAGGAGACAGGCACATCTTTCCTACTTCCTGAAGGACCCATGTTTGTGTTCCCTCCCCAGTTCTGACAACCCTCTCATTCACACTTGGTAACACAACCAAGTAGTGGAGAATAAGTGTTCTTGGGATATATTTCTAGACACCGACATTTGGACCTGAACCTTTAATTTGTTGATTTATTAATTTTTTGATGAATGAGGTCATATGGAGAAACTTTCTGCTTCATGGTTGTGTTGGTGGAAAATTTCCTAAGCTCTAACTGGAAGACTTTTTGGTTAGCTAGAGGTTGTTTACTTTTTATAACTACACATTATGTTTCTGAGCTCAGACATAGCAAGCAGAGCAGTCTCCAGAGATCCCCGTCCAGAGACAATGGCCACATCCACACACAGTTGTCATCAAAAGTGCTTTGTCTATTAAAATTAAGTTAACCTCAGCTGGCTGCTGTCCCTATGTGCCTTCTACATCTCTGGGTCTGGTTGACATGCCAGTTCACATTCATCTCTGCTTATCAATTTTCAATCCAGTATTCAGTACTTAGGGTATTACATAAAATAAATTAAAAACTCAAAATCAAAGAGTTTTATGTCTGATGCTTCTGAACTAACTGGAGCTGACTTCCTGTGTGGAAAGTAAATAGCCTGGCGGATTACCTTATAGGTGCTAATTAACAACAGTGGAAACAACTCCCCTGCCTCTGTGTGCCAGTCACTGTGTTTATACTGGGGAAGCCAAAATGGGGTCATTGTTCCTTCAGGGAGCTCCTATGTAAACATCATAGTGTGAGATACATGCTATGGCACACGTGAGCCAACAGGGGTATGGCAGTTCAGGGTTCCCTGAGCCAAGTCTTAAAGGACACCAAGGGTGTTCACAGTGGTTGCAAAGACTGGAAGGTATTTGCAGCTAGTCCTGCAGGCCCGAACAGGTCAGGACTCCAAAGAAAAAGATCAGACCAGAGAGGAGTTTGGACTTCATCTTGAAGGCAGTCGGAAGCCTTTGGATGGTTTTGGGGGCAAAGTGATTGGATATAATTTATGTCTTCACAAATACCACTTTGCTAGCAATATAAGGAATAGGTTGGCAGTCAGTGAGCTGGGAAGCAGAGAAGTGCACCATATTGAGGAAGTTGTAGAAATCCAGATGAAAAGTGAGAACTAAGGCAGCACCCTATAGGTGAGGAAAAAAATACATCCCTGAGATGTATCAGGGAGGTGCCCTTCAGTAACCCAGTCCTGAGTGATGAATATTAGAGAACAGTAGAGGAAAGAGTGAAGGAAGTCACCAAGGTCTCTGGTTCGAATAGAGTGCCTTTTGTCAAGACAGGTCTTGGGAGAAGGAAGATCAATTGAAGAATTTAGGGGGGAATGTTAATTCAGATGAATTAACCTGAATTAGCCTGATGAATCTTAGATGAATGAGAGACATTCAGGAGAGAATCTTTAGGAGGGATGCCTGGATAGCCCTAGAGTTCAGGCAGGAGGTGTTGAGGTACAGTTGTTGGTCCATCCCTTGGATAGGAAGAATGGCATTATCAAAGGCTAAGCAACTCTTTGGGCCTGATAATCTTAAATTTAGCTTCCTTGGAAGCCACATTATCTATTTCAGGATCATTTAGAGGTGGTAGGCATGTGAGATGTACCGAAATGACTCCTAACAGAGTTTAGCAGAGAAACTGTGGTCCCCAAGGTTTTTCCTAATGTTGTTCTCCTCTCTGGGCTACTTTTCTTTTGAATGTCCCTCATAGGATTCTGGGGAGAATCTCAGTTACTAGACTATTTAGAGGCCTCATCAGTAAAAAGGTACTTTACTGAGTATTTCATCTTCTTGATAGCCCCGAAAGAGGTTTCTATTGAGTCCCACTTAACAGACAACACAGCTGAGTGAGGGGTCACATAGCTTGCCTGGCAGTAAGTAACAAGGCTATAAAGTTGTAGACTCTAAATCCAAGTGTCTTTCTCCTACACAACACTGACTTAGTTTTTAGAAAACAACAACAACAACAAAACCAGGCCTATTAAATTGAATGGAAGTTACCAGCGTTCCTATTGAGGCAGAAGTGTGTTGTAGAGAGGATGTGGCCCCAGTGGTGTTCAACAAGAGCAGTGCTCTCTCTGGATCTCTCAGAACTCATTCCACTGATGCATCCCCTACGTCTCCCTTCCCTGCCTGTTCCCACAGCAGTCAGAACTGGTGGCTCTGATGGTGCTCTGTTTTAGGTCCACTTAAGACTCAGAACTAGGGCCTTGTTTACAATCATTCTCTCTTCCTTCTCTCTCTGCTCTTGTCCCTACCTCCTCAGACCCCAAGCAGCCAGACTGATTCTTTCATATGGGGGGGGGGGGGTTACTGGGGCTTGAACTCAGGACCTTGCGCTTGCGAGGTAGGTGCAGTGCCACTGAGCTAAATCCCCAGCCCAATTCTTTAATCTTAAGAAAACACAAAGAAGCCAGTCTTCTACACAGAAGCCTCTGGTGGCTTTGGGACTTTCAAGGCTTTATGTATCCTGGCCTCTATCCTTTCTGTGACAGTCCCTCCACTTGAACTACCATGGCTGTTTCTCCAGCCTTTTTTTTTTGGTACTGGGGATCGAACTCTGGTCCTTGCACTTGCTAGGCAGGTGGCGGAACCACTGAGCTAAATCCCCAGCCCCCTCTCCAGCCTTTTAAGCAGCTTTTGTACACTGCAGGCCTTATAACCTTCCTGTTCCCACGTCTCACAGTGCTTTTTTCCCAGAGATCTCTGTGACAAGGTCCCACACATCATCCACGTCTCTGCATCTCTCTGAAACCTCCTGGCCACCCAGTATAAAATGGCAGCCCCCATCATGCTCTGTTCCTTATTCGGCCTGATTTTTTTTCATAGCACTTGCATATTGACATCCACCTAAGCTCCATGAGCTTGGGCACTTTGTCCCTTTTGTTCCCCTTCATCGCCAGCTGCTGAGATTGTACCAGGTCCACAGTACATTCACAGCACTGGTTGGTTTATAGAATGAATACACAGAAGCCATGGTCCTGGCCCAGGAGGATGGGAAGTGAAGTCTCTATCACCAAGGGACTTATGATAATGAAAAAGAGTGTCCTAATTTCCCCCACATGGTTAGCATCACTGGTTCCCTAAGTCTCTTCATTTGGGGATAACTGTGAACAGGTGTCAGAAAACTTGTACCCATTTCACTGGGTTACAGATGTGATGCTCTAATAAGGAAGGGCATGACTTTTTTCTTCTGACACAAAGTAACCAGGATGGGGTTCCAGCTCAGGAGATGGCTGGTAATAGCATGGGTTCCATGTCCTACCCAGGACTACTCCCCAAACGTGGAAGTCGCTCAGAGGAGAATCCATGTTTATGCTGAAAAATGACTCCTGTCCTGTGGCTTTTTAATCCCCTAGGAAGATTTCCTTTGATAACTTTGCTTTGATGAACCCTGTCCTCTGAGTGTCCTTAATCAGAGGTTTCCTGTTAGAGATTTGAAAGTAATGCTATTTTAAATGCATTTTTCTGTTGTTTTCCCCAGGATCTTCTATGTCTCTCATGATTCTCAAGACTTGAAGATCTTCAGCTATATCGCTCGAGATGGTGCCAGCAATATCTTCAGATGTAATGTTTTTAAATCCAAGAAAAAGGTAAAGGGGTAGTCATTGGTCATCTGTTATTTTCCTCTGATGGACTCAGTGTACCCCCAACATTGACCCTGTTGAAGATTTGGAGGTGGCTGTTTTAATGTCAGACATGGGGAACTATCTGAATAGTCTGTCATTGCACTTATGTAAAGATATTCTCTTAGTTTTTTTTTAAATTTTATTTTATTGGTATATTTTAGGTATACAATATAATGACATTCATCATTGGAAATTTTATTCTCTTAGTTTTATCTGAGGTGTGTGCTTAGTTATATATAGATAGATGTAGAGGGATAGGCCATTGACTTAAGTGTTCTCAAATAGGAGGAGCAGGCAGGCAACCCCAGGGATGATGCTAAGGTGACTCTCCATCATAATCCTATATATTTATCAATGGACTTCAAATCATGACACTTGGACTCTGGTTTAGATTTAGGTTATGAGATTGGTTTTCTTGGCTAATTGTTTTATTATGGCAACCTTGATACGCGAGTAAATGTAACTTTTACACTTCTATAGGGGCATTCTTTCTCTCTGTCATTGCTCCAGGAATCTACAGGTAACTGGCATTTTGAGTACCTCCCTGGAGGTTAAAATGCCTAGGATTTAGCCCCACCCCTCCACTGCAACACTGAAAGATATTAGGCAGGTGACTACTTCACTATAAGTCTTGGCTTCTTTATATATAATGAGGAGGATAATCAAAGTCAGCATTTCCTAAAACGTATTCTGTAAAATTTTTGTTATCCAAAATGATTCATGTTATTCTTAAATGAAGTAAATTGGACACACATGTTTAAATACCACATTGTCTCTCTGATATGAGTAACTAAAAGTGGAAATAACTGAAATGTATAATAGATGTTAGGAAATGGGAAGAAAGTGTTCAAATGGGAAGGGAGGAGGGAGGGAGGGAGGAAGGAAGGAAAGAAGAAAGGAAGGAGGGAAGAAAGGAAGGAAGGGACAAGGAAAAAAGTGGAAATAGAAGGAAAAATGGAAACAAAGCTTTTATACATAGAGAGGGGTGGGGGTTGGGGGAATGGAATAAAAGAAAATAAAATGTATTTTAAAAACAAAACAGAATGATTCATGTTAAAACTACCCTACTGAAGTTGCCCAGAAGTACTAAAGTTATAGAAACCCTATTGACTTTGTCTAACCCTATATTTCTCAAACAGATTTGGCTATGGAACCATATTTTTTGCATGTAATATGAGTTAATATCCTGGAACAATTTTTCTGCAAATGAGATTTTAGAAAGCAGCATGTTGATGCCTCTAGTAGCCCTTACAGGTCTACTGTTCTAGAGATAAACTACTAAGACAGCTTTCTATGAGGACTGCCAACCTGCTTCCTGTACACTCCTCCTTTGATCCTATGTGACATCTTATACCTTAAGGCATCTTTAATAAATTTATAGATATCTTGACGTTGCCAAATGGGGATAATAAGAATAATGCATGACAGGGTGAAGATTCACTCATACAGATGTACCTTGATTTATGATAGGATTATGTCCCAATAAACCCATCCTAAATTGAAAATGCATTTAATAATATACACAACCTTTGGAACATCATAGCATAGTAAAATAGTATATTGTAGATGTCAGTTATTTCCCCTCTGACCACGTGGCTGACTGGGGGCTGTGGCTTGTGGCCACTGCTCAGCACGTTGAGAGTGTGGTACTGTATATCACTAGCCTGGGAAGAGATCAAAATTGAAAATTCAAAATATAATTTCCACTGAATGCATATAGCTTTTGTACTATTAAAAAATGATCAAGTAGAACCATCATACACCTGGCTGCATGTGTCATATTCCCCACTCTAATACCGCAGAGAATTCTGTCTCTTCCTTTCAGGATATTTGTGCCCTTACCTATCCTGCTTTCAAACTTTTTATTTCGATTATTTTTATTTATTTTGTGGTGCTGGAGATTGAACCTAGAGCCTCATACATGCTCTAGGCAAATGGTCTATTACTGAACAATGTCCCTAGCCTTCAGGCTTTTTAAATGCAAATCCTGGAATTGGATGGAAAATGCTAGAACTGGAAAGATGAGAGGAAAAAATGGGTAAGTTGATACACTTCACTTCTAGATAATAGTACAATTGAGAGGAAAAAAATGTGAGGCCAGGTTGAGCTGAATGTTAAACTGATAGAAATGCGAATAGGATGAGAGGGAGAAAGTAGAGCCATAGGAACTGAAATGTCAGAATTTAGGGCTTAGGGGAGTGAAAGGCTCTTATGACTCTGAAGTATACAAGACCTGGGCAGGAGAGAAAAGGACATACAAAGTGGTTCCGCAAGTTATAAATTGGATCATCTGTAATATTCCTTGACAGTGCAACCAAAGACTAAAATTTTCTTAATTCATTTTGAGTCCTTGGCTGTGCTTCTGACTTTAGTTTTGTATATAGACTGGACCATGTAAACTTTGGAATTTGCTAGAGTCACAAATAACACATAATCATTTACCAAGTATTTTCATAGTTAATCTAATTTTATCTTTATAATATGTGTGTAGAGAAGGTAAGATAGGTAATTTTCACCTCTCATTTATAGATTAGTAGATTAAGGCCTCAGAGAGATAAATGACTTGCCAAGTTCCCATGAACTCAGCTAGATCCAGGGAGACATGCAGAAACAAAGAATTTTGAAGAGGAAACCTAAGTAAAGGAGACCACCGTATTATTTTTGCCATCAGATCTAGTGTAGCCATCAGGCCCAGTGGAGCCCCTCTCTTCTGCCAAAAACCCAAGTCTAAGAACAATGCCCACCTAGATGTTTCACCTTGAAGTCAATTCCAGAATCAAGTTCCTGTTGCTTGCTGAAAAGGAGTAGCCATCTAGTTTCCTATCACATCAGATTTTTTTCTACATGACATAGCTCTCAGCTAACTCTGATATCTGGCTCTTCTATTTTCTGTATTCCTTTTGCCCTCACCTACTGAAACTGTGGTTCCTCACAGAGCTGGTTCTCAGACCTGGTGCTGGCCTGAGGCCATGCAGCCCAGGGAATTTTTTCCAGACAGCCTGGCTGCAAGCTCTGTTGCCCCCCAACTATAGGTGGGAGGGCCAGTTTCCAAGCCAAGAAAGAAATGAATTGTTCAGCAAAGGAAGCAGAATTGAAGAGGGGTGGGGAACACATCTGTGAGGCTTTGCACACCATCTTGGTTAGTCTCCAAATATAACGATTTACTCTGTTGTAAAACACTTCTGGTTTGGGGAGATAATAGTTAGCTTGGAAATGAGTTTTAATTGGCAAATCATAGGAATTTTTAAGAGGTGAGGGGGAAAGGACCAGTTAACCGAAGGAAATGTATCTTGCAAGGGTGCTTCTGGGTTGTCAGAGGTCACAGTGAAACTTCTTGACAGGAAGCCAGCAGATCTGGATGTTCTCCAGAGCCCTCATCGTTGATGGTAGTGTAGAAAAACTGTGTATAAGTTTCTTGCTGATCCATAGCTCTGGCTATTGCTGTTTCATATCACACTGTGTCCCCTGTGGTGTATTTCTCATGTAGGCCTCAACTGTGAGTGTCCTTACCCTACAGTTCCCCATGGGCCAAAGAGTTGTCACTAGGCTCTTAGCTTTCCCACTGGAAGGTGCCTTGTACTTTGCTCCCGGCACAGATACTATTCTGTACCTATGGATCTTCCTCTGGCCACTCACATGGACAGCCAGTCTTGGGGACTTTTAATCTTGAGCTGGGTTTTTCTGTTTGGGCTCGCACCAGAAACTGGACAGCAGGATATTGCCAGAAGTTAACATACTACCCCTTATCCTTCTACTACTCTAGATTATCCAAGCTGTAACTCTATGTTAAGTCAAATGATATCTTTCCTGTTTTGATACTGCCTGAGTCTACTGTAAGCTCTATATATGAATTATCTTATTTTATTCCCATAATGGTTATGTAAGGTAGGAACTGTTATACTCTTCTCTTTTTTTTGAGATTTATATT